CCCCCCCCCCACTGCAGACAACGTGACTGGGCGCCATGATGATGATGTACCCGCAGCTCTCAGACAGCACCGATAAGAGAGATGCTAAAACACGAGGAGATGAGCTGCTAGCTGTAACGAAAAAAACAAAACAAAAAAAACGCGTGCTTGAAAGTTAAACATATATCAACATTTTCTGTAAAACTTATAATCACACCTAAAAATATTACGATTAAGATCAGACATTTCTTTTTTCCCCCCCCAAACATAAGCAGTATTTTTAGCTCCCAACTTCCCATAATCCCCCGCGCAGTTAGGAAAGAAGCTGTCCACTGTGCAGTCTTTTCTGTGTAAAGTCTCTGTCAGTGAGATGCTCGGTAGCCTGACGGTGCAAAGCCRGACCGGAGGGGGAGGCAGGCTAACCGAAGGAAAGAGCAGCGGGGGGGAGTTTAGGCAGTGTCCCGTATTTGGAATAAGCCAGGGACCAGAGAATACAGTTTTAACTTTTGGCGTTAGACAAGATTAACCTTCGAATTAGGACTTTTATTTTTGACGGGCTGTCGGAACTCGTCAACAAACTATCGTTTTGAACTGTGGACAAACTAAAAAAAAAACAAACAAAAAAAAAAACAAGACATTTTGGACGAAGAATGGGATTCAAAATACGTTTCTGCAGCAAGTGAGTGAGCTGGGAGAACAAGGGCACATTTCCCACTTGGATAAAAAAAAAGAAAYTACTGTGTTGACGCGGAGTTTTGAGCATTAACGCCGCATGCTACAACTTATAGAGGAATAAGAGGGGATGAGATGCCGTTTGGAAGCGGAGAAAAGTAGCGTTAGCTCCCCGGGCTAACAGAGCTAGCCTAGCAGGCTGCTTCCTAATCCTGTGTCGCCCTTCATTCCTGGAGCAGAGGAGGGGCGCTGGGGCTTTGTAGCATTGCAGGTCTTGTGTTTTCGGGGTTGCTGGAAGAATGGAGACCTCCACACATCTGCCACAGCACAGGGAGGTCTGCTGAAGGGGAATCCGCTGGATTATTATATGTTTCTCACCCACAATAAAAGAAAAAGAGCAGCAAACTGCTAGCTAGGGTTGCGGTGTAAAAAAAAAAAAAAATCCACCGGCCTGGTTCTGTAAACAATTGTGACCAAGTCTCTTTTATTTCTTATGCACCCTGCCGCGGAACACTGTTAAAATGGGCAGGTTCTGCACGTTTTACCCTCCTCTTCGATTYTTATTTCGGAACAAGTCGGTTTTACAGCAGAATTAGCCCCCATCCTCAACAACAACAATAAAGTTGGACCGTTTTCGAGACATTCTCAAGGTGAGGGAACTTCTTCACMGGCCTTAGAGGAGTCTTATTTGAGTTGTTCTGATTTACCCTTCATCATCATTGCTTTAAAAGACAAGAAGACGGATTAATCATGTCTGGAGAGGTGCGTTTGAAGAAGCTGGAGAATCTGATCCTGGACGGTCCATCTCAGTCTAATGGGCACTGTTTAAGTGTGGAGACCCTGCTGGACATCCTAGTCTGCATCTATGATGAGTGCAACAACTCTCCGCTCAGAAGGGAGAAAAACATCCTGGAGTTTCTGGATTGGGGTGAGTTGGACCTTTAAGTTTGGCCTGTGCTTCCCTGCCTCTGACTCTTTGGTGAGATGATGATAATGTTGCAGTGGCCCTCCCTTCACCATCACATTCCTTTTATAGTAAGTAGTGGGGCTCTGCTCCCTTCTCAGCCTCTCTGCAAGGCCACCGTGTTCCTGTAGAACCCAGTTTTCTATGGTGTCTACAATGAMAAATCAGTCTTCAGTTTGTTGTCCAACCAAAGTAACTGTCCTTTTTGAAGTAGATCAAATAGCAGGAGGCTTTTCTGATTTGTTATGTATAACATGCAGAGTGCTGCGCAAAGTTGTAAACTAGGGCTGCCACGATTAATCGACGACTAATCGATTATTAAAATAATCGATGACTAATTTAATAATCGATTAATCGTTTTCTTTTTTTGTTGTTGTTGTTGTTCTTTACTTTGTTTTTCTCTCCAAACTGCTTTGATGCCTTCCACTTCCACATTTGCCTTTCCTCTGTCC